TTGATTTAAAGTGGATTATTTCCTATTGTGTTAAGCCAGAAATAGAAATGATCACATAACCATTGCTTCAAAGCCATAAACCTCCCCAGGCAGGTTTACTTACACTTCTTAGGTTACGTTTCCCAGTGACCTTGCCCCACTTCTGCATGCACAAGATGGGTAAATATTAGATCGAGTACAATCTCCCAGCATGTGATGCTATTTATATTCATGCAGATCCTTGGCTAGCCATGCACAAGTTAGGAAAATGTCTCAAAATTGCTGAATACACATCTAATTCGGAAAAAGTAGTCTATTAAAAATATAAAGTTAATAATTACCAAAAAATTCTAGAATATGAAAAGTCATTAACTTATATGCATCGAACTATAAGACATAAGTCCTTATGAACTTTCTGAAAATTTCTTCTCTACCATTTTTTCCCTCTCTGATCTCTATCATGCAGGTAAATAAATGGAGCTTTAAAGAAAAGATAATCATATAAACTTTTAGAGAAAATTATTTCACTTAACTTTCTAGTGCTTGCACTCTCCTGCCCCCAACATCCACCCTAACTCCATAGGCTATTACAAATATTAAGGGAACTGCCTCAAGTGGCAGCCAAACATCCACTCCAAATCATTTCTTCTCACTTCTCTTCAAATCAGTGTACGGGTGTGACATTGAGAGCACAAGCTATAGGTTCACATCATTCCAAAAAATCAGCTGTCTATAATACTCCACCACTCTCTTCTTCCATTCAAGAAAGCACATCATGAAGCAAAAAGCACAAGTGATAATGTAAGTATAACTGTGCATCCATGCACCCCAGTTTATTACAAACATACCAATGATTCCAAATGCCAATACTGCAACTCCTGGTGGTACCATATGTATTTTTATTCATGTAGATCTACATGGCTGAGAAGTAGGGCCTTGGAGAGAACCTGGGTGAGAGGAGTGGGGAGGAGGTCTGGAGTTGAATATCCATCCAAGAACCTGAGTATTTACTCTTTGCACATAAGAAATTTGGTCACAGTGCCCTACCCATTGCCTCCAAGGTTCCATATAGTCCTGTACTTCCTATACACAGGAAGAATATTCAACATCCTCCCTTGGATCTGGAGTTGGGTTCAGCTCCCTTGGACAGAATCACTATAACTTCAAAATATTCTGCAATAGAATTGATAAGTGGGAGCCCTCTTCAACACTGCACATAAAGGTAAAAGGTTTGCATTAAATACACAGAACCATGAATTTCATATACAAGAGCACTTGAGCTTCCTGACCTCCACTCTATGATGAACTTGCTTCCCATTTGTATTCATATAGTATAGTTCCAATTGTTTTAGATCATCTGAATGTACGTTAGTAAACTTCTAGTTATCCAAATACCCACTGGTAGAACTACATTTGTAGATGCAGTCTCTGGTTGCTGTGTGTAAGAAACCACGATCAAACGTCCTTCCTGTCCTTTACATTATTTTCTTCCATATAGAAAAAGTTTCGAAGATTCTTTACTCTAGGGCAACCCCGGTGGCGCAGGGGCAACCCCGGTGGCGCAGTGGTTTAGCGCCGCCTCAGCCCAGGGCGTGATCCTGGAGACCCTGGCTCGAGTCCCACGTCAGGCTCTCTGCATGGAGCCCGCTTTTCCCTTTTCCATGTGTCTCTGCCTCTCTCTCTCTGTGTCTCTATGAATAAATAAATAAAATCTTTAAAAAAAAAAGATTCTTTACTCTAAAGGGAAATTATAGTCAGTTATAGTAAATGTAGAACTCTAAACAGCACAAAAAACCACTTCTGAGAAAAATAAATAAATTCCTAATTAAGAATAAAAATCCCAATTAAACTAAATCACATTCTTAATCATTCTATCAGAACTACTCATTTTTTTTCATCTAACACATATAATCTTCCTATTTTACTAAGATTATATTCACAGCTCAGTGATCCTATAAGGAGTTAGGGAACATAAAGTTAAGTCTTAGACATTGGCATGAACTAGACCAAAACCATATAGCCAACTCTCTCATTAACTAGCTATGTGAATTGGGCAAGCTGCTTGTTCTCTCTACATTTATTTTTCATCTGTAAAATGTGAAAAGTCTAGCACCTACTCCAAATAATTGAAGCAAACAGTAAATAAGATAATGTACACAAAGCTCCAAGAACAATGTGTGGCATATAGTAAGCCCTCAACAGATGTCTATTGGTAGCAGTAGCAGTAATAATAGAAACAGCAGCAACAACAGAAGTCTGGATTGTTCCCCAAATTTTATTTCCTCTAGCTCCACTTTTTGACAAACACAAAAACCCCACTGGTAGAAATTTCTAGCATTCCTTCATCTTTGACTCTCCTTCCTGGAAAGAGGTAAGGACTATACTATACTTCCCAAGCCCCTGTAATTGTGTCACTTCTAGTCCAAGGAACTAGGAGCCAATGTGCTATCTCCATGCACCCCCTTTCTCTGGTGTGGCAACTCTTAAAGCCATGTGCCAAGATGCAGAAACCCTGAATCTTGAGTCACTGCCTGGAGGAGGGTTACCTTGGAGAGTCACCTGACCCACTTCACACTTCAGGTGAATAAGAAAGGATTCTTGATGTGTTAAGCCAGCGAGATTTGATTACTGCAGCAGGATCTACCCTATCCTGAAGCAGGTACTCATATACCCCTAAAACAGATCCTGGTATAATTCCCATAGGAGAAGGAGAGATGCTTCAGTTTTTTAAAAATAACTTGCTTTTGGTCAATGTTTATATTCTTTACTTCCCAATACTACCTCATACTGCAAGAAATTGACTTTTCAAACTCTCCATGCTTCTTCCTCCTTTCACATTTTTAATCTAAGATACAAAATCACATTACTTATAGATTAATACCGGGGCTTTTACTGGATCATATGTCACATAGTCATATGGCACCCATAATGTCCAAGATCGCCTGTGATCATAGTAGTTTCCAGAATTTGGAAGGGGTATTGGAAGCACTCTCAAGCATTCACTTGTTTCTAGATGATGGCAACATGGGACAGTTAAGTAGAATTACGAATATTTCCTAGTTTAAACTAACTTTTATGAAATATACAAGGGGTTTAAAATGTTTTTTACAACAGCAAGGTTTTGTGTGTCATTAAAATGTACATCAATATATTATTTATTTTACTTAGTCACTTCCATATTTAATTCTGTGTAGATGTCAGAAAAGACACATAATACATTAGCATAATAGCATATCATGTAGTTTATAAATAAATATGTGTATAAGTGGGGATCTATGCTCAAAAAAATTTAATGATAGCAGCATAAATAAAAGTAATTTTAGAACTGACAATTTAAAGAATGGCTTTTGAAATCTCTTGTCACTACTTGCATCATTTCTAAACTGCTGTAACCATTTTCCAAAACAACTAAAAAAGAAGAAAACCAGTATAGAACTAGGGAAATACACATAGCAGTAACAGGTTCACAAGGACATCATGAACCAGCAAAGTCAGGGGGGAAAAAAGCAGAAATAATAGTGAAAAGCATTAATTTGATTTAGGATTGAAGAACAAAACTTTCTCCTCCAACTAAAAATCACATTTCCACATCTGAAAACAAGCAAAGGCTCTGTCAGATAGTCAAAGGGATAAAGTGATTGCTTTTTATATGCAGAAGCAGAATGAAGAGCAGATTCTCATACAGATCAGAAGTGCTTCTAAAGATACCTGGACTCCAAGGGGTGGTATCCAGGGAAACAGATAGGAGGGCCAGCAGATAACCCCAAGAAAGGCAGAGAGCTTCATGAGGCCAACACCAAGACCAATTATCAAAGAATCTAGTTCAGCCAAGTTAGAATTATCTTAAATTTCTATAAAGTTAAATGATATCTGGAAATTTTTCCACGAAATGGTACGGTACTCTCTTCTTCCAGTCTCATAACATTAATCTCACTACTAGTAAGAGGTGAAGCTGGGATTTAAACCCAGGCATGTTGGACTCATAAAGCCCTCATAAACCCCTTATGAAGACAGCAGTAGAGAAATGAGCCCCACAGAATAGGTAGGATTTGGAAATGGAGACCAGCAGACACTGAAAGGGAAGAGGCAAGGAGAGGGAGTGCTGAGAAGGCCACTAGAGAAAGGGAACAGAAAGAGCAAAGGACTGGACGGGGAAAACCCTGAGTCAGTGCAGGAATTACCAAGTTGTAGTGCAGGTAACATAGGAGATGTGCCCGTTCAGAGATAAGGTTGGAAAGGCTGGCTCAGGCCTTCCAAATGAAGGTGTTGTCAGCTCAGTCTAAGAGACAGATTTCACTCTGAAGGCAATAAGTAATTATTGAGGGCTTTAGAGCAGAGAAATGGCATAACTGCAAGTAGACACAGGGAAAACTAATCTTGCTATAACATGCAAGATAGATCAAAGAAGAGTAAGAAGGTACCTTGCACATAGTACATGCCTATGTAATATGAATGGATAAAGGAAAGGCCATGTTAAAAGTTTTTGTTTCTCTAACATGATACCAAACCCATTCCACCCAGTTGAATATTATTTTGTTTAATATTATTTGGTTTGCTGTTTAGAGAATAAACTCCATTCATTCTAGAAGGAAATAAAGTTGCTGTGACTTCAAAAATAAATAATTCACCAGTCAAATGTGGCTCTCTAAATGTTGCCATTAAAGTGTCTACGCTTGCAAAAATTAACATGTTCCTCTTCGGTGCAGAGGGAAGTACACCTGAGCTGCTGTTGTTAGTGCTGAAAAAGACAAAAAAATTAACCGAGTATAAAAGTTAGGCAATGAAGATGATGCCCCCTCTTCTACAACTGTATGAAAAAGTCATTGGAAAATAAGATCACAAACTATAACTTCATATTTTTTATGCCCTTTTGTAGTCTCTAAGTCAAACATAAACTAAACCATAGTTTTTTTGATGATGCCAAACTTTCTTCTGCACAGGTTGTGGTGCCATCTGAAAAGCATCAACTACTCAGTGAGAAGCCAAGGCTGAAACACACACTGAGATAAGTCATAACCTACCTGATTTTCTTCATGGGAAACCCTCATCTGCTCCTTGAGGACAGACATTCGGGCTGCTTCTTCTTTCCTCAAGACTCTCTCCTTCTTGAGCTCAGGACTCCAGAAGGTCTTGATACTATTCATGGAAGATCCTAACTTGCTGTCCTTGATGTCTAGTTCTTTCCGGAGAAGGTCATTCTCTCTCTGAAGTTCCTTGAGCTGGGCTTGAAGGTCTAACATTGTGCTATCCCTTACCTGCCTCAACATGGAGGGGACCTGGTGGTGGTGATGATGGGATGAGCTAGTCAGACCACCATGTTGATCCGTGTATGAAAGAACATCTGTGTGGGAAAGTCCAGCAGAAGCAATATTGGGACTACTCCCCATGGCTGTGACTCGGCCTCCATATACAGCTCGATTTGTGGCCCTTCCCAGAGTCATGGTGCCCTTCGGGTAAGTTGTCGAAGCCACCCCCTCATGATCACTCAGATACATAGGTCCAGACGTAGCATAGGCTGCATTAAGGGACTGGATATTCTCCATGGACAGTGTCTTGCCTGTTCCTCCACCACCCCCACTGCTTGTTCTTCTGTGGCCCAAACGAGGAGACCTTGGCAAACGAGGAGATCTAGAAGGGCTACCTTCCAGATTGGTGATTGTTCTTGCACTTCCATACATTTTTTTCGTCTACTATGAGGTGCTACTGAAGAGAAGGAATACTATACTAAGTTGGGGGTTAAGCCAATATTTCCACTATTGGCCAGAATTTTCAATGCATTCTTTTCACAATCTGTACCAGAAAAAGGCTCCAGAGATCTGAAAAAGAGGGAAAAAAAAAGAGAATAAAAAATAAACTTCTTCAGAACTCTGATTATATTTTTTAAAATATATTAATGGGTCAATGATGATAATGATAGATACATGGACAATAAACAGTCACACCGTATTCTATTTTTGAGAAAGTGGCCCCAAACTTTACTTACTATATGTGAACATTTTGTATATTTCTTCCACCTTGCTCCCAAACAAGCTTAAAAGTTCTCAGAACAGAAAAGCAGCTCATTTCTCCTCAGGAAAATGAAGCTCTGCATTTTAATTTGTGCTAAGTGACAGTTGGGGCCTCTAGAAAATTCACCATAGAATTCGTCATAGAGAATTTAGCTATAAAATACTCCATTATCCTAAGGGCATGACCCTCATACATAAGTGGCTTAACAGCGACTCTGAGAAGCATTTGCTTCCTAGGATATCAAATAACAGCCAATCATGTTTTTATGTCCCCCTCCTGTACACATTCCAGACATCACTAGTCCTCATTTCCACCAAGTTAGGAACTCTTCTCAACACAATACTCTAGATAGTTTACCACCAATCAGCTCACATTGACTCAGGCATTGGAACTTATTGGCCATTTTGGAGCTAGAAGAAAAAGAGATGGCTCAACCATCAAGACTCCTATATATCTTGCCAGATCCTAAATGCTATTACCAGAGAAAATGGTAGTCCTGTCTTTTTCTCTCTTCACACACTTCTTTCAGGCTGGTGTTTTGGGATTTCTTTTGCATTTTGGTTGACCTAAATATTCACTCCACACTAATTCACACCTAAACAGACATGGCACAAGGAAACAATACACCATGTTAGAGTTCTTGGTCCCATATCCCTCGGAGAAAAGTAGTAGAAGCTCCCTGACATGGTTAGTCAAGTACTTTGGTGCAGAATTTTATGTGGCTGGGCTACAGGGTTGTGATTATCCCTTCAGTGTTAGGACCCAAATGGCCTTATTGGGGTACATCATGGCCTCCTGCTCTTCCTCTTAGCGTACTTTATTTTTCTTCACCTTTTAGACACTAAGACCACAAATTTTGGAAAGACACAAAAGAAGGTTCAAATTTCCACTCTAAAACTAAGTAGCTGAGTGACTTTAGGTTAGAGATGGGCATGTGACCCACATTGGCCCAAAAAGATTTATACCATACTTTAGCTGGAAATAACTAGAAAAGATAAGCTCTTTTACAGCTAGAATTATTTGTTTTTGAGATGGAGCTTCTGATGTGGAAATGGCTCCCCTAGAAGTGAAGTTAATGCAAAGGAAAGCAAAGCCAACCTTTAGATAGTATGAAATCAAACCATGTGACATCACTTGACACCCTGGATCACTTGACATCCTGCAGTCATTGAAGGTACATCTACCCCAAGCCATTTTAGTTACACGTGCCAGGTAGACTGACTGCATTAATGGCCCAAGTTCTTTACCCTTTCCTGTGTCTGTGTCCTTGGCAGTGCCTTCCCAATCCGACTCTGAGTTCACTCATATGATTAGCTTTGGCCCATAGGTGGTAGCATGTGTGAAGGAAGCAGAGGCCTGAAGTAGCACTTGTGTATTTACTCTCTTGTTCATCTTCCTCTGCAATAGTAATTAGAATATGCCCAGACTAGCTTGCTGGAAGATGAGAAATATAAAATAGAGTCAAGGTGTCCTAGCCAACAGCTAACCAACCCCAAAACATTTGAGCAAGCTCAGCCAAGATCAGCAGAGCTGCCTAGCCAACCAGCAGCTGGCCACAGATGCATGAGCAAGTCTAGCTGACATCCAATGAGCCCAATACAAATATGGACTAAACAAACGCTTCTTAGTATGTCACTGACTGATGTTCTGCAGCTGGATGTTCTACAGCATTACTGGAGCAACAGACAATGGATACATTCACTTATAAGTTTCTTTTTTCATCACATTCAATTCTATTTGGGGTATCTGTGCTTTATACCCTAAAGAGTCCTCATATATAGTATGAAGAAATATTTTCCATAAAGTCTCCTCCTTTCCCTAAAAAGTTCCTACAAAGAATTATATTCCTGTTTCTAACTAAGGAACTTAGTTTCAAATGTTTATGTTGCTCAGAGCTTTATTTTATTTCACTTGAAAATATGCAAAAATCATTTTGTATCTAAGATTTTTGCAAAATAATCTGTTCTATAGAAAAGATAAATCAACAGTTCCAACAATAGGATAGTTACATAAATAATGAGAGAGACAGACACCAAATAGAATAATGTGGCTACAACATGAGTAGTTAATGAGATGGAAGATGTTCATGACATACTAGTTGGGGCAGGGGTGGGGAAAACAGACTACAAAACATTTTTTGGTTTACTCACCTTATATAACACACATACATACATGATAACTTACAGAGAAGACTGGGACAACACACACCAAAATGTTAACAGTGTTGGCATTCCAAGTGGTTTTCTTTCTCTTGCTTTTATTTGTATGTGTGAAATTTTCTATAACAAAGATCTTTTATATTGTCTTTTTAGTCTCTATTTCATTTATTTCTGCTCTGATATTTGTGATTTTCTTCCTTCTACTAACTTTAGCCTTAGTTTATTTTTCTTTCTCTAGTTCCTTAAGGTGTAAAGTTAGGATATTTATGTGAGATCTTTTTTTCTTAATATAGGTGTTCATCACAATGAACTTCCCTTCTATAATTCCAACAGCTAAATGAATTTGTTATTTTTTTCTATGCTTAGAATCTAGGAATCTAGGTTCTAACTGAGCCACCACTTATAGAGTTGTCTTCCTAGAAGTGATGAAATCTAACTTGTCATCCCCTGTCTTCTCTTCTTGTGTATAGAAGCAGATATTTCTGAGGTCTCTAGCTAGGTTAGAGGTCTCAATTCAAACTTGACAAAATGTATACCCACACAGATTTCATCTTTGGTAATTTTACCAGCCTAACTGACCTAGGCTTTGGTGAATTGCAATAATCAACAAAAAGTGGATCTGATTAAAAAAAAAAAAACATTTCAATAAAAATAAATAAATAAATAAATAAATAAATAAATAAATAAATAAATAAAAAGTGTATGTGATCATTTTGGAAACACAGGGCACATAACACACAGATAACATACTATATACAAACATATAGTAACTTATTTGAAACAATGTTTCTCTAGTTAAAGAGCAAAACATGTTAACAATAGCTCCCATGTTTCCTTGGGTTCTCTTTCTAGGTATAGTATCAGGTTTATGTTAGTGTAATGGAATGGGCTGAGAAGCTTTCCATTTTTCACATTTTCTGGAACAGTTAGCATAGTAAGAGACTTCTCTAACCCTGAAATGTTTGGCAGAACACACCCATAAAACCCAGTGGGCTTGGCTGTTGATTACTTTTTATTTTTCACTGTGTTTAATGATCTACTCAGGTGTGTTACCTATTTTGTACCAATGATCATTAAAATGTTTCTTAAGCAACAGTTCATTCCATCCAAATTTTTCAGTTTTACTGGTATTGCTTTGTGTGATTTTTCCTTAAAAATTTTTAAATCTCAAAAAAAAAATGTTTTTAAATCTCCTCCAGTTATGCCCCCATCTTATTCCTAATGTTGTTTGTATTTTTGTTTTTCTTGACAACCATATGACAAATGTTTGTGTACTTTTTTAGTGTTTTAAAGATATAACTTTTGTTTTATTGATACATTTTACTACATTCTGTCTTCCATTTCATCAGTATCTCTTTATCCTTAATAATAATTTATACTTTCTTTGTGTTTACTTTGCCTTTTTGTATAAAGTGTTCATTTATCTTCAATCATATTTTCTGATGAATGTATGTAAAATTATATACATCGGCTGCGTATTCCAGGATTTTATGTTTAGAACTCTTGTCATCTATAAATTAGCTTTCTATTTCTCTTTTTAATTTTTTCCTATGCCAGGGATTATTCAGAAAGATATATTTAAATGTCAAGGTAGTTAAAAGTTTTTGGCTAATTGGTTCTAATTTTGACTAATGATTCTAATTTTTGGCATGGGATCATGAAATATACATGTCTCTAATCTTTGAAATTTGTAAAAGACCTTCCAGTTGACCCAATAAATTATCAGTTTCCTTAATTGTTAAAACAGCTGATAGATGATAATAGAAAAATTTTAAAGTATAGATATGCATACTGAAGAAAATGAAAACACTCCCAATCCTGGCACTGATAGGCAATATCTGTTAATAAGTTGATGTTGTTGCTTCCAATTCTTTTTAAGTGCCTGTGTATGTAATTTTAAACAAAATTAGTTGTTATATTCTATATAAAATATTGTACTCTCCATTTTCTTTAATGTTTTATCTCAACGTCATCTTCTTTTTTCCACTTAACATTAATGCCATAAAATGTCTTAATAAAACATGATTTTTAACGGCCACCATGAGTCTCCAAGATGGCCACCAACTTCTCTTCCTGTACACCTTTGTCTCACCTTCCACAAGGAAGTGGATTCTATTTCTCTTCCACCTGAATCTAGACAGGCCTTATGACTGCTTGGACCAGCAGATGCTGCAGAAGTGACACTGTTCCAGGTCTGAGCCTAGCTCTAAAGAGGCATAGCAGCCTTAAAAACCAGAGATTTAAGGTCCAAGCTAGCTTACTGGAAAGAGAGCTCACAGAAAAATCCCAGAAGCTGAGACATCACATGAAGTGAGGCTACAAGAAGGAGAACTAAGGTATCCCAGCTAAGAGCCAGCACTAAGACACCACACTCTGAAGATAGGCATCTTAGATCTTCCAGCCCTGCCAGCTGAAATTAGGTGCATGAGTGATAGCGAACCCTATGTGTAATAGAAGGATCACCCAAACAACCCAAAGAGTGATAGGAAATAATGAATTTTTGTTTAAAGTCTCCAAAGTTTGGGGAAGGGGAAGTTGGTTGTTGCTATGCAGCAAAAGAAGCGAAACAGTCACTAACATTTCACTGAATGGTTATATAATAATTTATTCAACCAATCATCTATTTTGGGACACCTAATTAATTTCTT